ATATTAGCTCACACCCTCTACGGATTTCGGAAATTCACGTAATTCTTCGGACCGACTTGCTCGTATACGTGAATGGACTGTATATACAGCAATTAATCACAACTGTTTTTTTTGTTTTGAGAATTATTACTGCATGTATATTACACTGTATTTGGAAATAAGAAATACGAATACGATCAGTTAGTGAAGATGATATAATTATGTGATGGGACTGAGAGTGCCTGAGTGGACATTGCAGTAAATAATCACATTCCAAGTATTTACTGCGAATGGGACAGGAACATTTGGAAAGCTCATTGAAATTACAAGGTATTTTCCAGTAAAAATAACAGCGGCGTCAAATCCGAGACTACATGTAATTAGGGTAATTTTCTAATGACTAGTTGTCCTGAGCGGTGTTTCAAGGGGTATTTTTGTCTAGATTTGATAAACTTACATTGTAAAGTCAATATGCTGTCCCGTAATAATCGGTTCTAACCAATTTTTTTTGTAAAAGAAGCACCTCTCCTTGATATCATAATTGTCATTAAATTACGCAGTGAGTGACTAGCACAATTCATTTTGTTGATTGTAAGGAAAATGCGCTTTTCCGAGATTCTTGTTTTATTGGAAGGTCATCATAAAATTAATTCAACCCCTCCAATAATTTCAGATCACATTTCCTAAAGCAAGAAGAAAAGTCGACTTTTACAGTTTGTCATGCATTAGAGGATACTTATCCAACTTGTTTCCCAAACTCATTATCAGGTTTATTTGCTAGATCCCCTTTCCAATCTCGCTCACAAGTACCGAAATACATCCGGCGGAAACCAAGAGTATTTGATGCACCCCCAGATTATCTCGAATGTTCATACCAATCATTCAGACTTGAACTGAAGTGGCAAGGTTTATGTCAAACCAACATTCGGAACAGAGAGGCTTTTCTGTCTATGTGACAACATTTATTTAACCACATCAGTCAGTTAGACGTATGCATTTGTCACTTTAATGAAATAAGGTAAAAAGAATTTAGCTCATAAGGCAGCATGTTCTTCGACGAAAGTGTCACTGATGAGATTAGTCAGCTTTCTATATCAAACCTCTTTACCCTGATTGGTTTGATTTGGAGAGAGGGGTAATGTGAGCCTGAATGTAGGACGATGAAATGACGTATCTTCGAAATGTATCCGTCTATGTTAAAAATAAAGTAGAGTACTTGGTCATGTGATTACATTTTGAAAAGAAAACTGTCTGGAAGTTAATGAAGTAAACTTACTGCAAGTTCAAGTTATAAGTTTTATTTATCTTTCTTTCATAACACACATTACAAATATGACATGAATATAACAAATTGGCAGAATATGGCATTACAATAGAAAGATGGGGTGACCTTGATTGAAAGCAAGGCTTGTGGAATTAAGGTTCCTCATGAGTAGCTTATGAGTATGTAAAATGTACAAACTCGTCAGATAAGAATATACTGCATAATGCTGAGGAGGTATAGGAGGATGTAGAAAAGAATCTGACCCCGTTTTACTGTAAATACCACGCACTGTGCACAGAAATTTGTTAAGTGGACTGAACACACACGTCAGGTTTTATGAAAGAGATATTCTCGTCATATTTCGGATATTTGGGGGTTTTGAATCTTTTTTTCGGGAAACATTTTGTGTGCATGACGTGGCTAAGCTGCGAATACACATAATACCACCATCCTGTATATAAACGTGTAGTTCCTGCTATATTCGGACTCCACCCTCCGCCCGTGTCCTCTTAGAAGAAGACACAAAGAACGTTAAAATGCAAATGACATGCACCTGACAAAAAAACGTAATTACAGAAAGACAGACACAATGGCCTAGAGGCAATTTTCCGCTACGAATATTAACTTACTGAAAGAAAGAAAAAAATTATGTAAGAAAAAAATAAACCAGAGGAGATGTAACAATATACAGAAAACTAGAAGGAAACAACATAGGAAGATGAGAAAGAGGGAGAGAGAGAGAGAGAGAGGGGGAGAGCGAGAGAGAGAGAGAGAGAGAGAGAGGGGGTGAGAGAGAGAGAGGGAGGGAGGGAGGGAGAGACAGAGAGAGAGAGAGAGAGAGAGAGAGATTAAGGGGGTTGGAGCGAGGAGAGTTTAAAAGTAGGGCGAATTCAAGTGCATATCAAGACATGGAATATCGAACGCAGTTTATCCTACGGGCTTTACTTAATTTCTAAAATTGAATAAAAAATTCTAAATCAGGAAAATGGAGATGTAAAATAAATTAATAAAAAGGCATCATAAATTAGTGAGACATTACACATTTCGCGTCGGACATTACACATTACGCCAATGCCAGTGTTTGGTAAATCAGAGTTTTTCTTTTTCAAAGAATTTAAAGATCTGGGTTTTAGTATATTTCAGTTGTATCTTCTCTTCATTTAAAATCGCGTGCACAGAGTGTACAGGATATCAACTCCCGTAGAAACAAATGTTTAGGGTCTTTAAAGCATTTTTGTTTTCTTCAAATTACACACTACCCAACTGCTCTAATCATCCCTAGATACCAGGCATAAATATTTCATATTAGCGTCGATTACAAATATATGGTACAGATAATGAGTTTAATCATACTGAATTAATCGCAGAAAATTTAGAGTTAAAGGTCAATATCATTAATCAATTTGATACTCTTGCATGGACCAACTACCTCGAGTGTATATATGGTTACAAAAGAAAGCCTGAATTATATAGGTATATGATTATTACATAACCTTGAATTTCTTTCCCATCACACTAAGTGCTCGATGGTTGGATGAGTGACCTCTCATTCGTTGCATTGTGTTCTTATTTAGATGTAACGTCCGTAATTATAAATCACTTGGATAGTTAAAAATAATTAATAACAGTCGTGGGCAAACTGGGCAGCGTCATATTTAATTACATTAATGACTATAAATATTCCCTGTGTATGAATGCGTGACGTTACGCCTATAATACTGTCTAGTCTAGGCCCATAATCATCCGTGAATTGTGTTTGTCTTTCCTTGACAAGTAGACAATATACCACAATTCGATTTATGATACCTGTAGAGATTGTTTACTATAATTTTTCTGCAAATAGATTTTCGATTCAGATTTAATGCCAATTATAGTATTTCGATAGTACGTACATCCATTGAGAAGCAACTGAGAGTACAGTGTAATAAATGATTGGGATATAAATTCTCATTTTCAAAATAGACAATGTTGTATAGTCGAGACCTTTGGTACCGAGACAAAGTGCAAAATGCAAACTTGATTATCAATTCAGAACTCGATTTACATGGACATTCATGCTTCCGACCTGCCCGTATACCTGAATGGACTGTAAACAGCTATTAATCACAACTGGTGTTTTTTTTTTTAGAGAACTATTTTATACTGCCTGTATATTACACTGTATTTGGTAATAAGAAATACGAATACAATCAGTTAGTGAAAGTGATATCTTTGGTGGGACTGAGAGTGCCTGAGTGGACATTGAAGTAAATCATTGAAGATATAAAACCAATGGAAATTAGAGTATTTCGATAGTACGTGCAGCCATTGAGAAGCAACTGAGAGTACAGTGTAATAAATGATTGCGATATAAATTCTCATTTTCAATTTGCAAAATACAAACTTGCTTACGTCTACTTAGCAATGGCTTTCGTGGTCGAGACCTAGACTGGCACATAACAAAAATCGGAGACCAAGTCTCGTTACAAACCTGCAAATGACATGGCTGCAACAAAACTCACACTTGATTTTTTTTATTTGTATAACAAAGCATTTGAATATAAATTTTCTGCATTCAGAATAATTGCACCCACTGTTCACTATTTAGCAATCTCGATTAAACTGGCAATAAAAGTGTACTATAATCAGCTTTAAGAATGTATTTGTATGAATCTTCTTGTTGTTCTTGTTCAGCGTTATATGGCAATCAGTCAATTGTGACTTTTATCACCAACAACATATTTTCTTAAAATATTAACTTCATTTATGAAAATTAATTGAGCTCTCTCTCTTGAATTTTTTCTTTTTTTATAAAATTATATCTATATATGGTTTCATTCCAGGTTGACAAATCCTAACGATTCTTTTCGGCATCATCCTGACAAACCCGCTCGAATAAAGCAATTTAAAAAGAAAAAAATATATATATCGCTCAGGTGCGGAACATGGTGGCTCCTTTTGGGATACCTGTATCTGATAATCAAAGTAAATGAAATTGGGTGTGAATTCGAAATTAGATCTTTTCCAATGAACTTGTTTGCACCGTCTTATAATTATGTTTATTAAAAATGACGCAAATTTTATATACTAAGTAATATAAGCAAACAAAATATGGGCTTTTGATGAAAATGGTGCAATAACTATTAATTAGAATGAACCAAAACGAAACATATACTTATACTTGATAAATAAGGCACATATCCATGAGATGCCCATGACTGCCTTTATCTTATGCTACGGTCACAACGGTTCGTACGAACGATAATTTCTATTGTCTGAAAATCGTTCGTATGGCGTTCGTAGCAGTTCGTAATGGCATTTGTGACCGAGGCTTTAGGTTGTACATATATCACACATATTACATACCCCTATTGGCCTTATATTACATTCATAAGCAATGTACCAGTATTAGCGCCTCAGTCAAACCGATTCTTTGCCATTTGGGAGATGTATTTTTGGTTCGTGTGTCGTCGGTCTGGTGTCGGTTTCGCTGGTGTGATTTAAGTATTACGTAGCACTTACGTTGTTCTTTGAAATCCCAAACGGGCTGTATCTAAAGTACTTTACATAGCAATGAGTTATTTTTCTGCATTTCAAACCACCTTTACAGTCTACTGTAACTCTACCGTCTGCTATATAGGGCAGAACTAAACCCCTCCATTAAGTCCATTCCCTTGAGGGATCTTCAGGAGAAGAGCACCCTAAAAATTCAGAACAATCACTTTATCTGTCTAATTCGTGCTCGTTGCTGCTCCTTTTTGTGTTTCGATTTAGAAATCGTCAGGGCCCATCCACCTGAGACGTTAAATCACACCGTCTGACAGCAGACTATCATCCACACAACTTGCCAAGATGTATCATAAAACAACAACAGTTGCTCTTGCTGTTCTACTCATTGCCTTAGTCTCACTCTCAGACGCTTCAAATTACTGGAGAATCAAAAACAAAGGCAGGAATGCTCGTTATACCGCCAGGTAAGAGAATATCTCACTTCTGATCACGATATTATGTAAAGCAAACTTTTCTTTTCTGTCTGTGTTTTCAATTGTCATCTTTCTGTGTGTCTCTCTCACTCACCCCCCCCCCCCCTCTCTCTCTCTCTCTAAACCCATGCCATGTCAAAGTTACTAACTGTTATCAACAATCAATGATATATGTGTATGTAATCATGATAATACAAAAATCACTTTTGTAACATGATACTCAGGCTGGTGGGGGACAACTGGCCCATATCTTTCCTTTAAAACCTGAATCGTGCCCCTTCAAACGTTAGACTCAAAAGGCACTTGAACATGTTGACCTAATATGATATTTAAAGAGAAAATATGATAGTTGCACCAATGATCTAACTGTCAATTTTTATGATAAACGAAAAGGGTTACTTTCAGATAAAAATTCCTTAAAGTCCCACTGTACTACTTGTAGCTACTTGCTCCCTCTATATAGAAAGCAATGCCTAATCGGTGACCATTGGTCCCCCATGATCCTCTTTTTCTTATGTTAATTGAGAGCTGAGTTGATGAGATAGCCACCTGTTAATGACCACCCTGGGTGGTCTTATCCCTCCTAGCCAAACTAGTACAGACGGCCTTTAACTTTTCTGCAGATCGCCACGGCTGTACGACGCACTGAAGAACGCTCAGGTCAAGAGGTACGCCGGTATTGAGGATGTCGAAGCCGCAGAGGAACCGGTAGACACTTGGCTTCGAGACTGGGTCATCTCAAACAGGTATTTACTCATGTAGTGCTTTACAATATACTCAAACTCAACTCACTCAAAATACTCAATACGTCATATATACTGAACACACTCAACGCCAGTAATACAGTCAACGTAACGCTCAACCCAAACTTAAATTGATCAAAACGGACCATGTTTAGTGATATTTTTTTGTGAAAAAGTGACCCATTAGAGCTGAACATCGCCGTATTACATGTCTTAATATATGAGAACCCCCCCCCCCCCCTCCCCGGGGCAGTCAGACACCCGGCAAAATTATGAATGCGTTAGCCGTCACAGTATGATGTTTGAGACCATTCACTTTTTTATGTGACGCACATCTTTCGTATAACGAGTGTTGTCAAACCTTGGATCTAGAAATGACTTTGTTTATCCACACTGAAATCAATGGGATGCGTGTCCCCTATAACTTCACTTTGAAGATCCTGTTGATTTGGCCTTGAAGAGGCTTTCATAAATCATGCTCCATCTTTAGGAAAAACACTCCTACCTGCAGCCATTATCAATATTATCAACAGTCACTCCTCTATTCTGATTGGGATGTTCTGTTGGATTGAAAAATCTGTCCTTGCAGCGATATTGCGTGATTTACCAAGACATCGATAACTCCTTTCTCTTCCAATCTTTACGTTATTTCTTCCGATTTTAGCCGCCAGATAGTCATGGTTTTTTATCGTTTCAATATCATCAGTTGAACTCTGATAAATGGTGATGAGATCGATTTTATGATAGCTGCATCACGATTCGATTAATATTGATGTACACATATACGGAAATACTACCTACTTAATAATTCCAACGTAAACTAAGACAAAAGAAAAGGGGTGTTTTACGGTGGAAAGGATTTAATTGCATCCAGGAGACCTGGTTTAAATGTCATAATGACAATTCGTCTGTACTGAGTTTGTGTGTGTGTCTTTCGTTTGTTTGGGTATTTTGGGGGTCATTAGACAAAAGGACTTGTTACGTCACTGGAAGGGCGACTATTTTGCGATCTTAGTAGATATTATGTGGAGACACTTATAGATTTATGAATTCGAACTCCGTGGTTTATCCTCCTACTTCTTCTTCCTCCGCCTCCTCCTGCTCCTCTCTCTCTCTCTCTCTCTCCCTCTCTCTCTCTCTCTCTTCTCTCCTGATCTTCCCTTCTTTCAATGTTTCATTTCACTTTCTTTTGTCTCTCATAATCATTATCTTCCTAACAACTTTTTCGGTATTTAGTAGGCCCCTTGCTGTTACTCCTCCAGCCTCCTCCTTTTCTTGGCTCAAATTATCTTATATTGTGTCGTCATTTCCGTATTTCGTTTGTCTGTATTTCTCTTTTTCTTTCAACACACATGACTGTTCAGATTATGTTGAAGTATTGTAAACGTTCGCACGTTTCCATGCATGGATAATGCACACTAATATGATTCGATTGATTTATCTTGAAGGTCTTTGCGAACGTGCCATATAAGCTTGGGGACATTATTTTTAATTCCTATTCTATGTTTCCTTTTTTGCACAGGAATTTCATCAGAGGCACTCTTTTCGACGACACCTACACAAATGAAGTCTGAAGCCTTTCACCTTTCCTTGTTTTTTCTTCTTCAGGTGAGTGTACAATGTATAATGACGTATACATCAGAAAAAATCACGCCCGGATTAACATGCTTGAAGGATAAATCTAGCAGCATTAATGTGATATTTACATGCGCTATAATTTTGCCTTAGCTCAAACGGGAGCTTTTAGTTTCAATATTGACTTTTCTGCAACTGTTTGACCATTCTGTCGCAAATAACATGATTACCATCTCGCTAATTGCAGAGAGGAAATGATTGACGATCGTGATTAGTGTTGGTAATGATATAAGCTTGATCTAAAGTAGATATGACAGTATTCTATGGTGCTGAAGATATAGCGACCCTTATGCAAAGACATTCGCTACTGTCCATTTAATGATTCAATAGATATACAGTCTGTATCAGTGATACTATGATCATGAAGACAAGTCTCTGGCCACAATTTACAATGTCATATTCAATCATAATTATGGAGTACCATTGGTACGGAAATCCGAATAGCATTTTAATCACATTAACAAGAATTGATGAAGGGTTGGAATTTTAATTTTTTGAGGCTGATATCAAATTAATAATCTAAGAGTAGCCATCGTTCACAATAAATTATGCTGCCCTGATTATACTTTTTAGATGATCATAGATAGTCATAGATAATCTTTATGCGTGGTTGTTAATGCTAATGAAATAGCTGTCTTCCAATTTAGCGCAATTACTTAACTTGATAAAACTGAAATTAGAAAAGGGATGAACTAACGGTTTTTACTGATTAAGGGTTTGAGTTTTCCCCTTTTAAATAAATTAATTAATGCAGGTGCTTACAATGAAAAGACGGCTTTAATGAGAAAACCTTTTTAATGCTTTCCACATTATTCAGTGCTGTAGTAAGCCTCTGAGAAATTCGTAACTTTGAGAATTTAACCTGAATGTGGCCTGGAAGTGGCATAGACGATTTTAGGATGATTAATATCGGATAGAACGTGAATCTTTACACGCATGTGCGATTTTATCTTATCTTATATTTCAATAATTACAGCAAGCTAACAAATTCTACTCCGAAGTAATGAACAAGCATTAAAGACTAACTGATTATGTATTCGATATTTTTGTTTGAATACATTTAATTTCGTTTTACCAATGGAGTATATTTATGTTCACATGTACATGTTCTAAGATTAAAAGATATGATTTCCCTGTTCCCGTAGATAAGCATAATCTTAAAACTCTTTTTTTCTTCCTTCCCTCATCATTTCTTCTTCTTATTTCTTTTATATTCTTCTCATCCTTATAATCTCTTGTTCGTTCCTCCTCTTCTTCACGTTTTTTTTTTTTTGTGTGTGTGTGCTTCTTCTTCTTCTGGTTCCCCATCTGTTACTACACCTTCCATCTTTTTCTTCCCATCTATTTTGTTTCTTCTAAATTCAGCTCGCAAATCAACCAGACTCCTGCCTGCTTTCTACCTAACTTCACCGAGTTCCATTCTCCTCCCAAAATGAAGAGCGACCTCAATCACCACAGACATGTCATCACTTCTTCCCTAAGCAGAAAATAATAACATATTATTGTTACGTCACACAAGAACGGTCGCTAGTGGCTTTTTATCGAGCAAAATACTTTTACATCAAATGATGCAAGATTCATCGCCCGTGTATTATATGTAAATATATTAAGTTCTTCGATGCACAACTGGATGGTACTAGAGTTATGAAAAATGTAAGCTTTCAATTAATTCCAAAACGATTGCCAGTGTTAATTAATATTTTAAAGAACAAGCAACGTATAGCTGCTCAACGGAGTTTCTTTCTCATCAACGCGCACCTTTTGGGTTTGATTTGGTTCGCCGTAACTTTATACACATAAACAATCAGTTGTTTAAAAATAATACGGCTGCTTTGCTCTATTCAGAGCCATTTATATCTTGGCTCTGTTCTCCATTTCAAGACAGACATAATATCATAAGTGTCTCGTCAAATCATTAATCGAAACTTTACTGAACTCAGCTTGATTGCACGAATTGTCAAAGTGAAGGTCTCTCGTCCTTTTATCTCCAGTGATTTACCCAATTGATCGGATAATTAGGTTCTAATGAGTTACTCACAAAACCATAAATGAGGAAACGTAATGAATGGTCATGTGCGACATTAGATCCCATGTACTAGAAACTTAATGAAACATTAGTTCAGTGATCCATTTAAACCTGTGCGAACGTCATGGCCTCAAGCTGGTTACTGGCGTAAACGATTGACTGGGAGAAGTTTGGGAGAATTTTAATGAAAGTATGGCTGTTCTAAAGCATACCAGTACCCCTGACTCTACCACCATCGTTTGATATCTCACCACTCCCATCTACTCCAGGGAAATCAAATTGTCTATGTTCGTTTATATACATGTAGGTTTGAAATGTTCATGGCTCACGTGACTCATGCCATGGTAAAAGGTTTATCAGAGAAAAGCTTATCAGCAGAAAGGTATACATCTTATTTAATTAAATATTTGAACATGGAGATTATAACTTAAGTATTGAAACAAAGAAAAAGAAGATGACTGAACGTGAACATCACTTTATTTATCGGAGAAATTACAATTTAGTAATCATTGACAAAAGGATGGAGAATAGAAAATGGTTGCAACTATAATATCGACTGATGAAGTAAGACTGCACCCATTGGATTAAATTAGTGGCTCCGCAGTCATTGTCCCACACTTACCAAATTCGCAATTTTAACCTAAAAAAAACGCTATACTTAACCTGAACAATAAACATACAAACCTGAAACCCAATCTCAACCCGATTCTTAACCCTAAAGCGTCGATGAAATGAAAATCAGAGCAAATGGTGGATCTTCCTCTCTTCATACCCCCCCCCCCCCCAATCATTCGCTGTGTCACATTTCCGACTACGCCTCCCGTACATTGTGGACCAAACACCATATAACGTCCTGATCCTTGCTAATTGATTTTGTCAGTCAAGTGCTTGGTCTTCACCCTAGGGCGAGTCTTCGAGAAGGGGAATTTAATTGTCTTGATGGTCATTCAAAGGGCGAAAACAGAAATTATGCGGTTGTGCACACATGCATCATCTTTACATCTTTGACTGAGTTTCTTTCTAACTGAGTGGTTGACCCTTTTCTATTTCATTCGTACTGACTAAAAAGTTTCGCGTAGTATTTTGGAGTTTAGTTGTCACCCGCACTGTTGCAACTGGCCATAAAGATAAAAATTGATCTACTCGCATTAAAACTAAAAATGTAGTAATCATTTCTATTCGAAAGACCCGATATGATCGGGAAACCTTCATGAAGATATAAGTCAAATGTGAATGCAACCTTTATGCAACTAAACTTTTTAAGCGTTCAGACATGTCCGATGAAACCTTATTTTGGCTGGTAAAGTGACAGAAAAACCGAAAGAAAAAATATCATTTCAAGTCAATATTATAGTTTTGTAAACAATAGGCCCTATATCACAAAAAAAGAGATATTCCCTGAAAACACTTTGTGGAAATTAACGTGGATACATTCCTTGTAATATAGTTGTTATGCCATTTGAACTCAAGAAAAGTGTGATGAAAACTATGCCAGTGTGTGCTAATTATTCTTTTGATGGTAATCATTATGACGGTAATAATACAGATTCTGTAAAGCATGTGTCCAAAGAGGAAAAATATCATGTTTGTTGTTAAGTTTGTTGATTTAAGTTGTCTTAATTTGTGATTTATCAGCACTCAAATTATCATGAAGGAAACGACGCTCTGTTTCATGACTGTAATAACCCGTTTACCTTGTACACTGTAGTTAATAATCTATTGTACTCACTACTGTAGTATCAAATTTTGTTGAAACGGTATAAACGATGCAGTTGCCGAAATAGAAAACACTAGATTTATCAAAAGTATCAATATGATATGCTATCTGGCGCCATCATTGTTCATGTTTTGTTTCATTCGTAGAGTGCAGTGTGTAAATGTATAAACTTGAAAAAACATGTAGATTACTACTGCAATGTTACTTATATTGTATCATAGTATTGTAAATAGAAATATTTTCCTTTGCTTCCTGTTACAAATGAAAAAGAGTATTTATTTAAAATTTTGAACGTAGTTCATGAAAAGTGTGACCTCATTTAATACACAGAAATAATCATGTAAGTCTGTAGTACGAGACTATTCCCTAATTCATAAAAAAACTGAAATCCCAGTATTTGATGTTCCAAGATACTGTATATAATTCTTTATAATTCGTATATAAAATATTTTTCTTGGAATATCACCGTTCAACTTATTAGTCATATAATGAAACATTAGTTCAGTGATCCATTTAAACCTGTGCGAACGTCATGGCCTCAAGCTGGTTACTGGCGTAAACGATTGACTGGGAGAAGTTTGGGAGAATTTTAATGAAAGTATGGCTGTTCTAAAGCATACCAGTACCCCTGACTCTACCACCATCGTTTGATATCTCACCACTCCCATCTACTCCAGGGAAATCAAATTGTCTATGTTCGTTTATATACATGTAGGTTTGAAATGTTCATGGCTCACGTGACTCATGCCATGGTAAAAGGTTTATCAGAGAAAAGCTTATCAGCAGAAAGGTATACATCTTATTTAATTAAATATTTGAACATGGAGATTATAACTTATATAATTGCTAAAATCAGTATAAGGTCAAAATCAAACCATCATTGTCACCACAAAAATCATTATCATCATCATAGCTACATCGTCATCATAAACCTATATAAAAGAGTACGTCGTACGTCACCGCTATCATCATAATCATCACCATCATCATCATCATCATCATCCCCACCATCATCACCATCATCATCATCATCATCATCATCATCATCATCATCATCATCATCATCATCATCAACAACATTATTACCATCACGACATGTAAAGGTATGAATCAATTTGCATCACCGGAAGTAGAATTTTTTTTTTTCCATTTCCATCTTCAAATTCAGCCAACTTACTATTTTATTCTTGTCGTTAATTAAATAAAAAATCTTGCAACCTAATTTGTGTAGAAACAGTTCATTGAGTGAGACTTAGAGACGGACACAGAACATGAGACAGAGTGAATGAATAATAGGGATGACTAAGTCTAGACGAAATACTATGACAAGAGAGGAATCATGATAGAAGGGATAAGAGAAAGAGAGAGAAAGAGAAAGAGAGAGAAAGAGAAATAGGGGAAGAGACAGAAATAGAAATAGGGGAAGAGATAGTTATGAGAGAGGGAGAGAGAAAGGAGAGAGAGAGAGAGAGAGAGAGAGAGAGAGAGAGAGAGAGAGAGAGAAGGTCGTATTTCAATATCATCCCAGCAAATAAAGATATATTCAACAATTCTTGTTATTTTCTTAATTCACTTTAATCTCAATAAATCATCTGAATAGAATTTGTCAACTTTCATGAAACATAATGCATTACAGAACTTAATCCATTTAAGTATTTTGTAAATTAATACGCCTACATCTGATATAACGTCAATCATATAATTATAATTCAATTTCTTATAATTCGCTTCGTACGAATCATTAATGTCAAACATGTCATTAATAAAAATACAATATTGCATAGAACATTTATCTTTTTTAATTCATATTTAATGCAAGTTATGACGGGCGTAATATTTAAAAAAAAAAGAAGATAACTTTCATTACAAAATATACTATAAACGACAATCTGAATCTTCAATAACATAACATACGCTGAAGATGAAAAGGGGGTAAACATTCTGATAACAATATGAGAATAAAGTTTATGATAATTAATGTGTTTTTGAATGTCAACAGAATGTTATAAATCAGTTAAGAATGACTGATGAACCATGCCCAATGAGTTTTCTACTCAAAATATAAATATATTGATTTATAGAGGCATGAGTATAAACATTGATCACATTATGTCTATATTCGGCGTTCATGAGATAGGGAAATCCGAGCGCAACTAATTAGCTTCTGAGTGATTCACGTATAGACCACGACGCTGCACAGCAAGGAGATCCTTAACTTATACCCTCCAGCAAAGTGTTAAAGATAATCTTGAGTTCTGGTTTAAAAAAAAAGAAAATGAATTCTCACAGAATCAAACGAAACTTACACTGAATGTTCAAGATTACAAATAAATGTTATTCGCCAAACAATTTTGGTAGAAAATTTATACTGGCTGAGTAATGAGCATAGAAAGATAAGGAAATCAAGGTTAGTAGCCCCGACACCATTTATGTAGTCCCATATTCATCTTTCGGTGTACAGTGATTGTTACTTTACCAAGACTGGCCCCAATTTATTATGATTTTGATGACTCCAGAACCTTGCAGTACGGTGTGTACTTACATGCTACATGATCAACTTTTTCTGATCCATTCCACACCTTTTCTTTCACAATGCAATCGCATGACCAGAACCCAACTTAATCTTTAACGCCCCTCTTTCAATCAGAAGTCTGGATATTGATCCTATTGATCTGGTATAAATTGCAGTTCAGAATAATATAATTATTAGATTGATCAATAAATGAAATGTAACTACAGTATTATCTCGAATTATAAAATCTAAGCTTGATGAGTGATATAGACCTACATGCTTACACTAGTACAAGGGAAACGAAAATCTCAGCCCCCTTACAATTTGATAAACAGATGCGTATTCACCAAAAAGGACTGAAATGGTCTGGGAGATGACCTAAAGATATATCAATCTCAAAAACTTTAAATGGAATTACAATTACCAGGAAGATTCACAATTATCATTTCGGTTTATTTCCCCCACTCTAACACCGGCTAATCACTCTCTGTGACTGTGGCATTGCCATTCTTAACTTTGATGGTCTCATGTTATTGTTTTTTACTGGCTGCTCAGAATGCTCGTAAAAGTTGTAAGCAAGCAACCAGGGGACCGATGGTTTTAAGTCTTCTACGAGTGACTTGGTAATGAGGATTAATGCCTCATATCAAAGGGCGCTGGCGCATCAATTTGGTTTTGAACCCAGGGCTTCCTGGTCACCCGACCACTTCTTTCTACCACAGGGTCATTGAGCATCCGAATTAAACTCTCATTGCCTATTCGTTATTTCATATTTCATAACGACTCCACAAAGATCTCTAAAATAATATTTCCATACTTTCTCACCGAAAATACGTTAGGATTTCGACATGACTTGGATTTCGACATGATTTGCTTTTCACACAATAACATCATGCACAGTTTGGATTTAAAATGATACAGCTGATCTTATTGTAGGACTGTTCAAGTAGAATTGTCGATATCGGATGACGGCGTTGGTGACGGCGTTGGTGATGGCGTTGGTGATGGCGTTGGTGATGGCGTTGGTGATTCCGATGATGTATCCTTACCATCTATATCGGCTCCCATTTCAAAATCTGCATTTACGAGACCATTCTCGATATCCTCCGACTTAGTATCATTCACCACTTCCATTCTCTGGGAAACATCGTCGATCTCAACAATCGGATCATCCGATAATCCACTCTCTATGGTCGATACACGATCGTCCGATAATCCACTCTCTATGGTCGATACATGATCGTCCTCTTCACTATGAATGTCGATTGTCGTTTCATTCGTAGGATCAGCCGTAATTATCGATACATCCTTTTCAAGATCTGTTGAAGATTTGCTTGAGTTCCTTTCATTATCGCTCTCCTCTTCTCGACTTGATTCCCGTAACTTAAATAGTGGTGTATCAAGTATATCATCCAATCCTATGTCAAATCCTGGATTGTCAAACCCTACCGACAGCGGACGATCACTCACTTCCTCAATCGTAGGCAAGTTCGATGTTTCTGATGTGATCGTATCGTTTCGTAAACGTCCATATTGATTGTTCTGGGTGACGTCACTACCAGTAGTCCCAGCTATTAAATCTGGTGTGGAGTAGCCCATCGGCGCAGGTGTGTATTCTGAAGCATCTTTTTGTTTCTGCTGGTTGGTTATTGCTTCTTCCCAGGTAGATAGGACACGGAAAGATGGAGCAGCATGGACTTCGTCGCTAGCAGAAGTTTCATGGAAGCTATGACTGCAATTAAAAAGGATATCATCTGAATATGCAAGAAGGTACCGCATGCGTCTAATCCTACTACTACTACTACTAATAATAATAATCAAACATTTTTATATAGCGCATAACACATAGGTAAAATTGCATGTCTCTATGCACTTTACTACGTTAAAATCTCATTTGTTTTAGTGTGTTGACTTGGAACATCATGTTGTTAACTCGAAACTGATGCAAGTGACTCAAAGATGGAAAAAGTTGCGATCAAACCCAATTCTAAACATTAAATATTCTCAGCTGATTGGCTGAAAGTTGATTTGTGTTTAATCGCATTTGCTACGCTCAATCCTCGGAACTGCTTTTATGAAAAGGAGATGAACTGATTTTTCATCATAATTCTCGAAAGAATATTCTACAATACAAGATTATAAGAGAACTTGTCAATGAAGGGGGGATTCACAACTGCAACAATAATAACAACAACATGCATATCAGCCATTAAAAAGACTAAATGAAATGAACAGATTTTTATTTTAAAGTTAGTATGATCAGGTATAAGACTAGGGACGTTGCTAGTCCATTTTTGGTTTAAGGGTCTATTCCAAAATGACAAAATGCAAAATTTCTCAGAATTCCCCCCCCCAACAAATAACCAAGGTTTACTGATTAAACAGAACATTCAGATGGAAATGAATTTAACCCCCTTTACACACACACTGGGACGCCCCTATTGGTTTATACTGCATTTATCTCAACCAATTAATGTTGCTATAGTAATAAGAGTCATAAGTCTTGTAATTATCTTTTTTTGTTTGTATTTCTGAAATTTCCATGCCCTTTGCTTTACTATGCTTATTTTTCAATACTCAATGCCTTGCTTTACAATAAAAATAAAATTACCAAAACAAAATGATTGAAGGCCTGTTTTATTATTCGTTGCCATTGTTACACATTAACAATTCATGTGTAATTTATAAATTTGATAATTTTGCAATTCCTGAAACATTTTAATATTAGGCAGAACCCTCACTTAAAGGGTAATGATAAATTTGTAATTAATTCTGGCTACTGGTATCTTTCATATAGCCTTGAAAAAAAGTAAAAGAGAAATCTAGAACCTGAAAACTAAACAATTTCGGTGTAAATCTGGATTTCTGCTGTCCAGATTGAAATAATTTGTTGTTTATTATATTTATAAATGATAATGAAAACACTATCACCTACTTACCTTTGCTTCCTGCGCTTGAAATACCAAAAGTATACAGCAAGAACCACTACAACAATGACACAGAGAACGCCTATTAAAGCCCCAATCACTGCAGCTAAAGGAGAAGAAAAAAGTTTACAATCAATATTTTTATCAGAACGTGATGTTCCATAAACAAAGCAAATTATTCATTATTCTTAAACAGAGCGATTCATAATACTTTGCAGAGAGTGGAGCTCCTACGAAAATATTGTATGAAAATATTTAAGAGATCTTGACAAAAATGAATGAAAATTTGCACTTAACAAAATGAAATATGTAGCTAATTTCAACTCTTTCTCTTGAGTGTGTTTACAACATTCGCTAGGAAAATAACGAAAATTCAAAATACGAATATTGTCTTTTAACACAGTGAAAACAAAGTATATTCAGTTACTTTAGGGTACATTATTTTGTGCCCAGATCAACCACCAATGCCAAGAAACGATATACAAATTGCATTTTGTCATATGATTTATTATTTTTGAATAGAATAATTCAGTGATAAAACCTCGTAAATCGTTCATGATTGATGATTGCTAATGAAATTGTGGATGAGAGTTGACATTATGTAGCAACGGAACAGATGGCGGAATGGCACACTCTCGGACATACCAAAAAGAACTCCGGGTGAGGAAGAGAGAGACAGCGAGAGAGAGAGAGAGAGAGGGTAAGAGACAAAGAGAAATAGAGAAGAGAGAGAGAGAGAGAGAGAGAGAGAGAGAGAGAGAGGTAATCTTAACACTGTCCAGTAATGGATATAAAAGTATTTGTATGTTTTTAATAGATCATGATTTTTACGAAATACTGTCTTCTTGAAATTCGATTGAGAGGTGGACCCTAGTCCACTTATTTCAAGAGAGGGCGTAATTCGTTTAACCAGATATGAGACATTGCTCTGTAGAAATCTGATTCGATTTTTTTTTTTTTGGGGGGGGGGGGGGATAATGTCCACATTATAACTTCCGCGTACATTCCATAATCGTGTTTACCACTCCTCATTTTTTTTAAAACAAAATCAAATATTTGTACCCCAGTCACATGAGAATAACCATTGTCGAATGAAGTAGTTTAAAACTATAATCGATCCTGACCATAACAAAATAGGTTAGCGTAGGATCATTGTGTGCATGTCGAACGAATATAATTATGTATGGGCCTTCGGCCTTTTTTTTTATTACCTGTGTTAGACGAAGGTGTATTCATATTCGTTGGAGATGGTGACGTCATACTTGACGGCGTTTCTGATTGGGCAGTCGATAATGCCGACATAATGAAGTCTGTAGTTGCGATGGTGATACTGGGTAGTAAGCATCACACAGTGACCCTGGATGAGAGAAAAAACGAATAATTTGAATATTTTCTTTTCTTTTCTTTTGACATTTTCTCCCATTTCATCATATCTCATACATGTAGTTGTAAATTACTTTGAAACACTCAGTCAAAAAAGAATCAAATTTTCAAAGTTTAAAAAAAAGAAAAGAGAGAGATAAAGAGAAACGGGAGAAAAGGGTATAAGGAGAGGAAAGGACATTTTATGGAAATAGATAGATATATAAGTAAAGGGGATTAATGTGGATACTTTTTGAGAAAGAAAACAAAACAGAGAGTGGGAAAGAGAGAAAGGGTGTGATAGTCTTATTTGTTGTTGAGAGAGAGAGAGAGAGAGAGAGAGAGAGAGACCGGGGGGGGGGGGGGGGGGGGGGGGGGGTAGAGAAGGGGTGGTAAAAGGGACGGGTATAAAATTGAAAAATATAAGAGATTAAAGAGAGATATGATTTAGCCTTCTGACCTGGCTTAAGCCGAAATCAGACCACACAAACGGAAACTGATTTTCTGTTCATTCTTGTGGTTGAATCTGACGAGTGAAAGACGACAAGCTTCAGTTTGTCTTTCTTCAATGATGATCTTCGATTTTGTATTACAAAATCATCTTGAAAATTAAATGAAAGGTAGTCTTCACACATCTCATTCCATTTTAGTTGATCATAATTATGATATGTATGAGATAAAATAAAAAATATGCATCTTTTCGCTACCATTATCAATGTGAGAACCCAAAGTGAAGAAGAGTGTAATTGCTTACGTTTTATTTGGTTTTGACAAGCAAGTATAAAGACCAAGCAGTTCCATCAAAATACTTGATTATGGATCTCTGGCAAGACTAGTGTCCTTTATCATCAGGAATGCAGTAAGGACAGGATCATGACTTATTCAAGACGCCACTAACCGAGGATTTTCATATAGAGGGCGACATGGCTGAAATCGCAGTTGAACATCGAAGCGTCAACATCCGTCTGTATTAGAAAATGTAAAAGGAAGAAAAATACACGTTTCTATTAACCTACTATAATGACAACCAAATGTGCATTTATTCATATGCCATGACTTTACAAAAGCGGAATAATGTGTCTATATTGATTGCAGAATGGTTGGCTGACGAAATTACGAAGAATGAAAAAGGTGTACAGTGTAAGCATTCGATGCGGACTTTGAACACGTTGATCTTGACGCCATTATTGAGAAGGTCGTATGAGTTCGTGTACTGTTCACAGGTCACAATGAAATAAAGGAATCCAGGTGCATTTCATTGTCTCAAACATGAGTATGCCTTTTTTTCGCGATAATAATAAAAAAAATCCCTTGGTATTGTTCTCCTTTGAGGAATTATTTCAGTGCATATCAGCATATCTATATTCGGGACCCGAGCAAACTTGTTGAATGGCATAATCCTTTAGATTATTTCATCAGGCTTTGGAAACTTTTGTATAATTCTCCTTCTCGACAGGATTATCTTGTTCCTAAGAGATTTTACTGTAAGATCTAATTGAGGCAGAAAGGAATTTTGCCAAGCCCAACATTCTTGCCATGTAATCTGCTAAGAGAAAGCATAAAAAAGAGCTCTAATCTCTAAGCTGCATACCATAGGGAATATGCATGTATTTGTATATGGTCCATAATGCCTAGACAGAGATTGGCAAAACAAAAAACTGAAATGCAGTCTGCAATAACAACTTGTAACAGTTAAATGCAAATGATGGTCACTATAATATGATGACGATTGAAAATGTTGATCCGGCGAAATTGATCTGGGATTTATTACGTCAGAATGGTGGTGTTAGGGTTGCATTTAGGGTTCCATTTAGATTTTAGGTTAGGTGCAGGGTTTAAGGTTGGGTAATTTGAATTACCATAACTGTAATAGCGTGGCTATAATGGTAAAGGGACATAGAACTATACTTCCTAAAGAAATTACCATGCTGTTCCCATGGTATCAGCGACTACATGAGTGAAAGTCGCGATGTATTGTTATCGGCGATTTTATGCCTGGTAACGTCACGTATTATGAGGGTGTAACAATAAATTGAATCACACTTTATCCATTATCTACAACGCTCAAGATTTTATCGGATGAAAGCTCCTACACTTCTATGAGCAGACATCCTTACTAGATGGTTAACCCTAATTTTAAAGTTATCCTAAAACTCAACTGCAACTCTAACCCTATAAACTTTTACAAAATAAAGACCGGGCAGATGTCACTGAATCAAAATAATGTTGGGATCAAGTTATTCCAGGTATTTCGAAAGAAACAAATCACTCGACTTGTCCACTGGCCATTTCTGACATCACTATGTAAGGAACACAAGAACATTTTCAGCAAATATTTTGGAATCGCTAAAATTGTTGTAAGATTTTCCTCTTCCAATACGCAACTGCCCGGTGGAATAATGGCTCATCCCGTTTTAATTAAAGGGTACATACCGTGGGCATCCTTCGAGGCTAATTATCTATGGTATCACAGTGGCAACCGATGTTTGTTCCGGCAATTTCCCATTGTTTAATTTCCCAAATCAATATTGCATTTAGTGAGATTCCTCCATAAAAAAAGCACAACTCATCAAAACAAATAATGAAGTAGTGTTTCAAAAGTAAGGTCTTCCTATTTTCGTTCTATAGATAGAATCAAGGTAAAAATAGAACGACGAGGAAATGATCTTGATGCATACAACCCATTTGGTTAAGCTCGAAGTGGTATGATCATATGACAGACATTCCATGATGGTATTACGTATCACTTCCACCCAAATCAACGAATAATTTGGGGTCTCTAAGTAAACGTAAACAAAATGTTGAATAATTTTTTCGCCTTCTTTTTCATGTAACTGACATGTAACTGTCAAAGCTCCCTTTAGCATGTTTTGTATCAGTATGTTTTGCGGTCGACACTCAGCCAGATTGTGCAGGCATGTGTGTGCACATGGGGGGGGGGGGGGATGAGTAATAGATACATTGTTATTTTCTGTGGAGGGAGGTTAACCAATATTCAGGCAATATGTTGTTCTTGTTTCTTTTTCTCCTATTTTTATTCTTGTTCTTCTCCTTCTTTTTCTCCTGTTCCCTTTTCCCCTTCTTCTTCATCTTCTTCCTACACTTTTTAATTTTTTTTTTTTACTAAACTTTCTTTACCGTATGACTAACCAACATTTAAAATTTAAACTTTAAACTTATATCCTACTACTCCACAGTATTATCATAATAACAATAATATCAATTTTTGATGCAGTCTGAATATATGCAATATGTTTTTGAATCTATATTTCCCAATGTATTTTAAACGTTTGTACAAAAGTATTTGTCATTTTTAAAAAGGAATATTCGTAAAATCATCGCAATTCGGCAATGCCGCAATGATGTTTTTTCATTAATAAACCAGTTATATATCTATCTACATCTAGTGGATACGTCACCGGACTGTTGAGTATATGGTTCGCGGTCCAGAGTCCTGCCGCAGATCTAATATATCCTTTGACAAGAAATTAATCTACATTTGCCACACTCGACCCAGGTGAGGTAAATGGGTACCGGGTAGGAATTTATTACTTGACATGCTAGGGCGCCATATAATAGCAGCCATGCTAAACCGGGGTAGTCATTGTGGAGCGCCGGGAGTGCCAAGTCTGACAGGCATGAGCGCTAAACAATAACCCACTATTATTAAAGGCAAACCTCACCCCAAAGAATAAGTATAGGTTTGCTGAAAAAAAGACCTTTATTACTGCCCATTGTTCTACAACAGTTTTTACGAAAATGCACGAAAGATATTTTTGGCATGATGTAAAGCCTTTTAGCATGACATGGGTGCAGCCATTTTCTTGATAATGTGACGTACCAGGCGAACTTGTACATGTATCATGCACTTAGCTCTAGTTGGAAAGACTTTTTAGTTCAATAACAAAATCTTTACTTTACTTAATGATGGAAAATCATAGCTGAGAAGATTTAAAAAAAAATCATATTTGGTGAAAAATATATAATATATAGGGGAATACATGTAAGTGTAAGTCATTTATTCAAAAATACTAAAATATAGCATTTGATAAATCTATTCATTTAGCCTATAATTATGTGCACCCTTCACCACAGAAGAGAAACAAGCTCTTTAAGATAATAGCTGGTGAATGAATTAATTCATCACTACACACACACATGGTAAGGAAGCATTCAGAAATTTGAATATATTTACATCATAAATGACTTTGCATAGCAATATACGTCACGTAATCAAGAAATGGCGATGCCCTGACGTGCTGAGAAACTGTTCATTACGCTAAGAATATCACGCTTTATACCTCTCTCATTCACTTCAGTACGAAACTTGTAGATTTATGGGCAATAATATAATAAACCTCTTAGAATAATTAAACTTATTTCTCGGGTGAGGTTTCATTTAACTGATTAACTGATCGAGACTAATATTGAAAAACTGTGCGCGAGAAAAAATCTCAATAAATCATTCACAATAAAGAAGCTCCTATTAACTCATTTTTACTTTCATGAGGGGCATGAGAACAAAATATCGAAGTAGTAATTCATCTAGAAGTAATGACAACATATTTTTTGTAAAATAACAACCTCATTAAAAGAAATACTCCGAGTTAAATATATAAATGTACCGCAAATCAGCAAACAATAATGAATATCGAAAGTCCAAACATTTGTTTTGACGCTGTCGACACGACACAATAGATGTTTGCGTGTGTTTTCCTCATCGTTTTTCATTGCTAAACATTGTGAATAATACATTGAGTCATGGTAAATACGTGCTTAACGTTATAGATAGCGAGAATCATCCTTGAGATGCATATAGACTTTGTAAACATTCAGAACAACAACACTGTTTTGCCACAAAAGCTTTCTTTTGTTGTATGTTTGTGTGTGGACTCAGGCATAAATAACATGGAATTCATTCTGTTTATGAATTACTTGTTTGTAATTATGCACAAATCTCTGTAATACGCTGGTCATGTTTTCTGCAAATTGCTCTTTCCTTACAAGTCGAGAGTTTACATAAAGAATATAGATTAGGCTTAAAACACAACATAGAATAGTTGCTATGATGTCTTGATGCAATATGATATACATCTGCGTCGAACTACATTCCAAGAACAAAGAAAGGTTCTGTCAAAGTTGGGGCTTGAAAACTTATATTTCACGCCATGAAAATGACATTACATTAATTTGAAACTGACGTAAAACGACGAATACATCTACAATTATATTGCCACAGAAGGTCCGTTTTACAAACAGGAAGTAAATGTGTCCTAAAACTTTCTGAACTTCGCAAGGTTTGCTTCAGTATAATATAATTTATCTGCATGTATTCCGTATTATCATCTACATCAACCATACAAATCACTATCAGATTCTCATAACCGTTGGCTCCTCCACATCAATCTTCATCCATTGGTTTAACAAGAAAACAAAATGATTATGAATAACATGAAGAGGCAGCTACAAAATGTAGCAAGAATAATGTAAAATGAAATATAATAGAATATAATAATGAACAGAATAAAATAGAATAAAATAAAATGAAATAAAATAGAATGAAGTAAAACAGAAAATACCGCGTAGTACAAAAAACACTACAGTAATCATTATTTTGGCTGCCCCGCGGTCGTCAACATGCATGGCAAATGGCGTAGACCTAACATGCGTCCATCCATTTAGGGACACTGGTGCCATGGTAAGGGGGCGCCTTAACATAGGTAAACATAAAATACGGGTGAACACGAATAAGGGGAGGTCAGGTGTAAGTATTGCTTAATTTTTTATGTTGTCGCCCCCTCTCCTTTTTACATTTTTCTCTTCCTATTATTTGCAGTCTTTCGATCGGGGAAGGGAAGTCCCTCCGCATACTCCGTACTCCATTGATTATGACAGGTTGCAATAAGCAATGTGTGATATATAATATGAGGTTAAACAATTTTTCTAGCACTTTCGTCCATGGTTTATTTCATTTGATATACTCTAACTCTCAAAAGTGGCAGGTCGCTTTTCCTCCTTTTTCATTTTACTGTATACATAATCGATTAGTCATCACTGTGAAGAAGTAGAAGAGGAGAAAAGGATTGGCTTTCTAAGAAATTAAACCACAGACCAACATTATTCAATATTCTGAAGGACATTATGTTAAGGGACTTATCGCATGCAGGCCTACTACGTCCGACTCCAAGCCCCCCCCCCCCCCTCCCCCACCGTGAAAGAAGAGAACACTCTACACTGCCTATCCATGTTATTGAAAGGATTCATGACTTTGTATGAAATGTTGGGGTCACTGGAAAACCTTTATTTTCAAACTCATCTAGTTACTTACCATTGTGTACTTCAAGACGTCGTTTGTTAGACAAGGGCTAAACGTATTCCCGGTGCCCTTCATGCATTACGATTGTTGTACAAACCCAAATGGTGACATCTGATTGATTAAAACACAACTAATGTATACAAAGTTTGGTTTGTTCAATAGTCCGGACAATAAGGGCTATTTTCATGAACAACTGTGTCTGTGAACCAGAGTCACCTTGGATTTTTGGTTAATTTCAGTTTACGTGCTTGAATAGTTGAAGTACAATTTCTTATGGAATATCGCCTAGGCTCCTCTGAGCAAAACGAAATAGTAAATCCTCGGTTTATTAACGAGTTTGTAATAAAAAAACAAACTCTCACGTCACTCTTACCATTTAATTTTAAGTACATGTTTATGCTTTAAATTTAGTAGTTTAAATCTGTATTATGCTTATTTTAATGTTAGAGTGTTGCTTTAAATTGAAAGCAATGAATATATATCAAATTAAGGACTAGATTATAACTTTTAAGGGACGTCTTTCTCAATGACGCGGGATACTGGTATAAGACCCGCTATTGATCTTTCAAACGCTGTTTAAAAGACGATTGAACGCACTGACCAATGAAGTTCGATTGGGTCGAGACGTTTTTGTGTGACTCAGTCATTATGATGGGTATTTTTTAAAGACGCATTGATTATTTACCCTCGGCTTTACCCCTCTTCTGCCTCTGACCATTGTAGGGCAGGGTCACCCTAAAACTGAGACCTTTGCTTTCTTACACCCATCAAGAACACAACGGCTTCGTCTTGAAGAATCACAAAAAGTGTTCGATACCGTATGTTGTTTAAAAACAGAAGTAAAGTGAAACGTTATTTCATGTTTGTACTGGGATTGCCGCAAACAACAAATTTAAGGTTTAGGTGTCGTGGTATAGTGGTTCATTCACAAGACTCTAAATCCAAGGGTTGAGGGTTGGAATCCCAGCCGGCACGAATGTCCTTTGGTAAGACATGTATCCACTCTCCGCCTAGGTATTAATGGGTACCTGTCATTTGCTGGGGTGATGATAATTATTGCAGGGCCCAATTGAAGAGCAGTATTAATACACAGGTGAATAAGCTAGTCGAACCCAATCATCAGTATTATCATTTCTGTGTTACTCAAGCTATAATCATAAACACGATCATCTTAACCAACATGATTTGGAGAGAAAAGTGAAATCACCCAATATTGACATTTGTCGAATCGTGTCTTACATGTATTTTATGTAGATATTAGACCCATACGGGAAAAGTCACATGCACTATAGACCCATGCTACACCTACAGTATATACAAGTGTAAAGACAATTAATGTTTTCTAATAATGGTGCGCGTCAAAATACACGTTATCTATGCATGGTTAGCTACATGCATTAAGTTCACAGGGCTTCAGCCAGAAAACAATTCTATTCATGCATACGTCAGCATATTTGACTCGCTTCTCATTCGAGCATGTGTTTGGTAATTGCAATATTGTCCTAACATAACATAATGCATAATAATTTAAAGTATAACCATGTTACGTCTAATAAAGCTTTATCGCACAACTAGCCTTGACCGAACTTGAAAAAATAGGCATAACCAAATAAAATACACCCTCGAAATAATATAGTCCCAAGTTCGCATATTCTCGTCACAGTATTTCGTGAAGAAACTAAGCTAATATTGACAGTACTCCTGTGAACATACACGGGACTACAATCAAATCTTGTCCACTTTCTTACGGAAACCATTGTATATATTTTGCTAAACAGACAAGGAATTCTGTTGACTATATGCTAGGAAATCTCAAGGGCTGATTCACAGGAATGCGACATACTTTTCAGCAAAAGAAACCCCTTCCCCCCCCCCCCCAATAAAAAGAAGACAAGGAAACAAAAACAAATACAAAAACGGTGTACCCCTTTTACTATGCTTACCATTTTCCGGTCAGAATATCTCTGCCATTTAAGCCAATTGATGCGATTCATGTTTGGGACAATTATTTCATAGTGTAAAATGTGTACAAGGAACTAACAAAAATATGATTACTATTTTACACTACATGATCACGGGTTGAGAGAACATAATGGGAAGGTATTGTGTGACGTCTCTAAAATAGAATTAAATTTTAAGAGGAACCAGAAGAATTAAATAGGCGTAAAGGAGACTAATAGATGGAAACGGTGAATCTGAGAGTTTTATAAGCAATGACAAAATCAAATTTATCCCAACAAATCATGTTACAAGTTGCATTTAAAAGACCGGGAGACCTGTGTGAACATTAACGATGTACTTTTTTCTAACAACTTACCACACCCTAGTTTTAGACCGCCATTTCAGAGTGACGTTCTGTGAAGCCTTCGTGATATTATGATCATGAATAATACAAAACAATCAAGGCAAATGGAAACGAACGAACTATAAAAATTAAAAAAAAATACACGGTGATTTATTTCGCTACCATAAAGACCATAGTCACCTTCACGAGCTTTGTTCGTCCCTCGTCCCCGAACCGTACCCAAGCATAGAATCCAGTGAACACGCCACGGGCAGGCACACTATACACATCGCATTCAACAAGTCATTCTACCAATGTGATAGTGGTACTGCAGGAGGTTAGTACATCAAAAATACCGTCCAGGCTCTGAGAACATACATCCAAATGGATTTTGGTAGCAACTGCACTAAAGTTGTGCCGATATAATCCACACAGTTAAGCTAATATTGTGAGAAATGGCGTCCTTATACAGCGACATGTGAAACGAAGCCCTCTTTTTCTGAACGACTGTTCCGCTTTTACGGTCTACTGGGCGAGATCTGAAATCGTATTATTCATGTTCTATTATTTACTCGTCTCGTCTTTATCCGCTAATATCTCCCTCAGTGGGTTTTCTTTTATTCCATTTCGTGAGAACGTTTATTCAAACTGTCACCGCCACTGTGTGATGAGTTAGTCCACTCCGTCTAGGACGAAACACCCTTTTGGACGGACTAGACTATAGCGGTCCAACTGCGTCATCAGTGGTGTATAGAACGAACTATAGAATGAGAATGTATACCTGGGTCTTCAGTGACTGAAAGGTCATTCCCCGTAAAGTGGATTATCGAGTTGCTTTCATGTCCATAAGATGTTTCAACCTGGTCCTTCATTTACCCCAGATCCAACTCCAACCCGAAGAGTTTTTAACAGTATCATTACGATCAGCTCATTCTCCTTCATACATCCATAGAACATCATATAGGGTGTACTATTTCAACACCATTATAAATATGTAAACAAAATGCAGCCTCTCGCATTTGTCTTGCAACTTGGTGTTTAGATACAATTGACCATACATCTCCTTTTTCGCTCAGCAACACCTAACTTTATACATTTCTCACAAAATTTGTGTCGAGGTCGCCACTCACGCATGTAAATGCTCTCATCGTACAGCCAGAGCTCTCAAAAGTTCGTTCGACAAAAATAGGAAAAAGAAATCTGATTTTAAAATGTCCCCTTTTTTCAGCCAAGTAGATCCTGGAAGACCCAGGTGAATAGAAACTTGTGAAGTGTTCACGCGTGTCAGGTCAAAGGGTGGAACTCCTTTCTCTCCCCCTTTGTGATCTCTCTCTCTCTCTCCCCCTCTCCCTCTCCAACTCTCTCTCTCTTTCTCTCTCTATCTCTCTCTCTCTCTCTCTCTCTCTCTCTTTCTCTCTTTCATTCTTTCACTGGAAGAATTATTGTCTTGTTTTTCTTCCCATACCCACCCATGCTTGGCGAGAGCTTGTTTTTTTTGTTTTTCGTGCCAGGTATATTCAAGGTATTCATTCATGGCGGGATGTCATCTGCATTGTTGGCTTTCTTGTATGACTAACAGCCTTATTATCATGACAATAGAAGTCAACCGCAGCTATTCTATGAACGTGTTCGTTTATTAGTACCCACCCATTCACATTGCTAATGAAAAGTCGATGGACATGATGACGGAAAGCGGAACAACTCTTCGCAATCGCAGTGTGTTTAGGCATGTTTGTGTGTGCGCGTGTGTGTGTGTGCGTGTATGGGTGCGTGTATGGGTGCGTGCGTGTGTCTGTTGGCAGACATCCACTGAGTGAGTACTGTGTGTGTGTGTGTGGGGGGGGGGGGTGGGGGTGGGTGGGTGGGTGGGTGGGTGAGTATGTGTGTGAGTGGGTGAGTATGTTTGTGTGATAGAGGGTGAGTATGTCTGTGTGATGTAGGGGGCAGGGAGGGGGCAGGATTGTTTCAGTAAAATTATCTCCAGATTTGTTTTTTTTTGTAATATATAAGTAAATAACATTTACAATTGACATATTATGTTTAGGTACTTATACGTTTACTTTGTTGTTAAGTTATATTATACTGCAAATAAGTTTGTGTTTAATTATGATTATGTAAAAGCATCAATATTGAACACGTTTATTTTATTCAATTGTATGTCATGGTTTGTGTTACACATCTGGAGAAATAAAACAAAATTGTTAAAAAAAAAAAAAAAAAAGTCAAATGAGCTTTGTTTATTACTATTATTAGAAAAAATTATTGATTTCATTCCGTAATTCTCCTTCTTTGCTCAATATTTTGTGAATAATTTATCTGTATCTACATTGACTTTTATTTATTAATTTATTTTGAATGGAATCTCTGATAAAAAAAATATGGAGAAAAAAAATATGTTTAATGTACGTTAAGTTCACTTTGTTGCTCAGTTATATATAATGCAACTTAGTTTTTGTTTGGTTATGTTTATGCATAATCGATCAATATCAAAAATGTTTATTTATTTCATTCAATTGTATGTTGTTCTTGTTTGTATTATATTTGGAGGAATAAAACAGAATTACATTTTTTTAAAGTGTGTATGTGTGTGTGCGTGCGTGTCAAATGAGGTATGTAGGGAGATATTTAGTAGGCCTAGGAAAGTTACTCTTGCAGACTAGTAGAAATTCAATATAATCTGCTTCATGGAGCAATATATACTAAAGAACATTTATTGATATTCGGCTTTGTTGAAGCATAATTGAAACATAATTATTTACACTTGTTCTGGGAGTGTGTACATGTTCAAAGGTTATGGCAGAATGTAATAGCTAAGTTTGAGCTAAGGGAATTAAGGTCAATCGACTGGGTATACATTTAGGGTTGTCCGGTAATACCCCACGAATAAAGATATTTAATACAATTATTTTGCAATGAAATATCGGATATATAGATTCAGGGAAAATCCGTAATATTGTCTTTGGTTGATTTTAAAAAAAACTGTTGGAATTTAGTGAAGAAGAAAATAATATTGCAGGGAGGGGAGGGAAATGAGCCATACATTTACAGAAGTGGGAACATGTGAAGTTTTCATGAACTTTTTACAATGGATTATTGAAGCCTCGTTTTCTTTCTTTATTAATTCTTTTAATCATTATTATTCTGTCGCTCCAATGTTGGCTATTCTGCTAGGAATAGTGTGTGGTATGTGTGTGGAAGTGTGGTCGGTTGGTAGGCATGTTTGTATGTGTGCGTGTCGTGTTTGGCATGGTGGTGGTGGGGGAGGGTTGTAGTAGTGTGTTTGGTTGGATGTGGCTATTTGTTTTATTTTACAACTGATCTCATTTTCTTTTCATTAATCGTACAATCTATGTATTGATGATGTATTGAATTATGTCGAGATGAAAAACAATGTTTTTTCTAAGGATGATTTGTATTTTGGGGGAATCAATAACAACAAAAATATGGATTTTGTTGTTGTTGTTGCTGAGTGTGTGTGTGTGTGTGTGTGTGCGTGCACTTGTAATGACCGTCAATCGGGGAGGTTCATATGAATACACAACTTCCAACTGTGGAGACACAGCAAACCGTGGAGCTCCACAGTTGCAGAATCATTAAAACGAGATTTAAATCAGCTTTGGGACATCCCAGTAGTACCCCATCAACGTTCGGCTGCGATTTAACTCCATCCCCGGTTGCGAATTTTTTTTCCGTACTCGAGAGGGCAAATACCCCATGTGCGCATGCGCGTGGACTTGTGATTTCTCTGCTACTTCCCATACGAAATGTACATGTATTCGCATCTACTGTGCACGATTCGCGTTCTACGAGTAAACGATGGCATAGTAGTCTTCAAACACAGACTCTGATTTGCCAGTTTGACAAAACAATTACGCATATATCGTGCGTAGCAATAGTACTAGTATTCAAGTCTGAGTAGTTGTATGATTCAGACATTTTAGTGCTTACAGAAATGCATCCCAAATTGAATAGCATGGTATAGTAGTCTGCAAGCACAGACGCTAATCGGACAGTTTGACAACATAGTGTCTTGAGTAGTGCTTTATATTCAAATATGTGTAGTTTTATGATTCAGACCCTACTGGTGCGTGACACAATACATAGGCCTACCATGGGGTCTGGAATCATTAAACTACACAAACTTGCATAAAATCACTACTCATCAATACACAATATATTATTATGTCCTTGCAGACTACTATACTACACTCTACACATTGAGATGCATTTCTAACGCACGCACCAGTAGGGTCTGAATCATACATCTACGCAGACTTGAATAAAGTACTTCTCAGCACACTACTAGTATGTTGTCAAACTGTCAGATTAGCGTCTGTGCTTGCAGACTACTATACCATTCTATACAAGTTGGCGACTTGAATAAAGTACTTCTCAGCACACTACTAGTATGTTGTCAAACTGTCAGATTAGCGTCTGTGCTTGCAGACTACTATACCATTCTATACAAGTTGCAATGTATTTCCATATGCACTACTGGGTCTGAATCATACAACTACACAGACTTGAATAAGCACATCGCGACACATACGCATATTGATTTGTCAAACTGGCAAATCAGAGTCTGTGTTTGAAGACTACTATGCCATCGTTTACTCGTAGAACGCGAATCGTGCACAGTACATGCGAATACATGTACATTTCGTATGGGAAGTAGCAGAGAAATCATAAGTCCACGCGCATGCGCACATGGGATTTTTGCTCTCTCGAGTACGGAAAAAAAATTCGCTCCCCGGTTTGCGTCTTATTTTTTCGTACCACGGCGAGCCCGGATTCCTGTTTTATCATGAATATTCATTAGGCAGGGCCGGGGAAAGTCTCGATTCTCTTGAATATTCATGTATGATCGAGGCATGCGCAGCATCGAATATCGTGTGTAACAAGTACGTTGGATTAATGGCAGGCCTATAATATGACATAGAAAAGCAATGTCATGGTCATTTAGATAATACAGTCATAAATGCTGTGTTTAATTACTAGTAAATGCCAAAATGTCAGTACCGGTAGACAAGATATATAGCATATATTTCAAGTAAGAGTCTTGATAGGCAATTTGTGAGTAGCCTAGGCCTACTTTTCTGAGATTAATGGGAGTCTAGTTCTTGTCATGAATTGGTAAATAATCAGTTCTAGGTTTGCTTTTTAAATATTACAAGCAGAGGTTGCATTATGGTATTGAATATGTGATACAGTATTATAAACTGTATAAAATAGATAACAAGAATAGGCCTACATACAGACATTTATCAAAAATAAAATACTTGTGTATTGCACTTAAATTATTTCTATGATCAATGCTCACTTAACTGCATAAGGAAGAAAAGGAAGAAAGAAAAATGGGATTAGAAAGAAGAATAACAAAGTTAAAAAGTAAAATATATATAAATAATAAATGAATGGAAGAAATAAAGAATACGGAATAGATACCAAGGAAGAAAGAAATAAATTGCAAGAAAATTGAAATGAAAAGAAGACAAAAGAAAAAGGGAAAGGAGCAAGATAATATTGATACCATATCTTCAATCTTGTTTTCTTTTATCTTGCCTCTTGTTTTTGTTTAGGCCTAGCTACCATTTTTTCCTTTCCTTTCTCTTTTTCTCTTAAAAGTTCTCTTTGGTTTCTTTCTAAAATAATGAGGGAAGGGGGGGGGGGGTGGGGGACTCGATGATAATTCATCATTTTAAGGTTTACAATGTGAAGTCCACGAGTTATATGCACCCACTGAAGAAAATCCATGTACAGGGTTGCTGCAGGAACCCCAGCACCCACAGATCCCACGCATGATGAGACAAACTCGAGAGAAAACTACACATTCTTTCACATACATTGAAGAAAAAAAAAGAAGAAAAAAAATCCAAGATCGGTCGAACTCTTTTTGACCCCTCCCCAGGACGTCGATCAATTACATGTATGT